CCACTCTTCCTAAAAATAAATTTTTCCTAATATCCAACCTGAACCTTCTCTAGTGTAACTTAAGGCCATTGGCCATGGGAAATCCCAGATACGTTAGTGGAAGATACTGAACATCCATAATGGGAAGAAGGGATTTCTCACTCACCTGAAGCCCATCTTTTTCGGACAAGTACAAGTCCTCTTTGAAGCTCTAAAACAAATTGCTCTGTTTGTTGCTCAGTTGAAAACTTGGCCAGCAGTCATTGGCTTTTCTTCTGAAGTGTTGTGAAGTTGGTTTATAATCACCATATTTCTTTTATCCTATTGGCATAATTTAGAGATTTCTTGATTATTCATGCTTGCGTGTCAGCTCTTGGAAGAGTACAGGGAAGACGAGATAGAAAAATTGTACTGAAAGAGCTGTCAAGCATAATATTGTACATTTCTTTTTTCTTTTTTTGAAACTCAGGGGGAAGAAATCCTTGCAAGGCTTTTGTTTGAACAGTCTCTGTTACAGCTTTAGAAACCTTGGCATATTTATAACATCTGGCTATACAGAATTTGTAAGCGCACGCAATTACTACAAATACAGATAAGTACAGCACTGGGCAATGCTATGCCACCCACACTGCAGGGTGTCAGCAGGTAGCTGGTGTCGACGATGAGATGCCCATGGCATTCTCTGGGGAAGTGACCAGCCCTGGGTGCCGACAATAGGCAGGAGCTGGCTCCTGCTTGCAGCTGGGAGCAGACACAAAGCCACATTATCATTGATCTTCATCATTATCATTTTTACCAGCTTAATTTAACTGGTTTATGTCTACAATGAGGAAAACACAATTTTGGATGGCAGAAGGATTTTTTTCTGCCCGGGTAATTAGTGCTTTATTTAGCACTCTGTGAACCACTCGCCAAGCTCATAAAGGATTCAAGCTGGTGTCTAACAGCCTTCTCCTCTCCAAGGCTCTTTAGGATCATCTTTATTTAAGCGGAGGTTGACGGGAACTTTGATGTGCAAAGTAATTCAACGGCCAACACGTTCATATTGAGTAAGCAATAACCATGCCCTGATGTGGGTTTTTTTTTTTGGTAGATGTTTTATTTTTTTTTTCTCATTTATTTCGATCTACGTCATGAGGCTCTGCATTGGCTTGACTCATGCTGGATTCTATTTGCAGAGCTTGGTGATGAACCAGGAATGTCACAACATCGGCATGGAGTGGGGCACTTGTTGAGGTGTTAGTCCATCTGCTGGGACTGTTGCTTGTGTATTAGCTTGGTGCTCTGCCCTGTCCCAGCAGAGGGGACTGTGTTGTAGGACAGCACCCAACAGCAATGACCAATGACCCACTTCTTCCCATGGGATCTACATTCTTGATTGCTGCTCCTCTTACCCAGAAATAAGACTCTGCATGTTGCTGCAAAGTTCTTCTCAGTTCTGCCCTCTTAATTTCTTGCACTGATGGTAAGATTTGAATTCCTTGGGCAAACTCAGTCAAAAAGGACTGCGTTGTAATTTAGAAATGTTATTTCACAGCAATCATAAATCTTTTTGGGATTTTAAGATTCTCTGTCCATTCTTTTCTTAATCACTCCAACTTTGGTTTCCCTCCTTGGAGTGTCACTGATAAATATCTCTCCCTTTCACATCATTCTGTTTAACTAACCTTTTTTTTCTCATGCTCTTCAAAATCTAGATCCCCACCACCAGTTAAACAACATGAAAAATGCTTGATTTCTTTCCAAGCTTAGGAAAATGGAGAAATCCCCATTCTCCTAGTTTCCATTCAAAAATGTAAAAATCTTTAACAAAAAAAAAAAAAAAAAAAGCTTTTAACCTTCCTGTATTGCACATTAAAGAAACTATTCTTTCAATCCTGGCACCAACCTAATTTAATTTCCATATTTTCATTATCTTCCTATTAACCACTCGTGCTCTGCAACAAAGGAGCTGCTGGAAATATATAATGCCACAGCCATTCAGTGCTGCAAAATCTCAGGGGCGCTTCGATAAATTACATCCCCATAATGAAGAAGTAGGGGGAGAGAGTGGCAACAATAGATTCTTTGCACAATAGAATGAAATCGGGGTTTGATCTGATGCAACATGACTTGCTCAGGGCACAGATAGAATATCAAGTCATCGCTACGAAATTTAAACCTTGCTATAATCCACCCCCATATCCATTGTTCTGCTGAAACCTTGAAGACTGTGCAGAATAGTTTGCAAATTGGGATTTAGTTGATACAGTTCTTTTTTTTTTTTTTTTCAACTTGCTCAATTTAATTATCCTCAGCCTACAGTCTAATTTATGTGTGTTTGATGTCACTATTCATTAGCAGGACAGATACAGCCTGGAAAGTGACTGAAAAAAATGCAGCTGCATTCCCATCTTAAACACATTGCTCCGGTCATATAGTGGAGTTTTGTTACATAATGAGCTTTGAACAACATTGTTAGAAAAAACTATTACCTAGAGAAGCCTGAGAATGTGAGTTTGTATAAGAAATGTCTGTAGAAGCTGTAATAGCAAAAGGACACAGTTTCTAGCTCCATGCCAGGATGCATATCACATTCATTAGCTGTCACTTAGAGAGACAGAGAGACAGTTCCTAGACTGGAGTTATGATTTTCAAGGTCGTTGGCCAAATTGAAAATTGGCAACACATTTAATTGTGGGCTGCTGGGAAATGCATTTGTTTGGTTTCTTTTCTTCCCTCAAGTGAAAGTTCCTTAGAATGTTTTGAAACAAATGTAAGTTTTGTAAATGCAGAATGAAATATCTGGGGTCTTGTTTTTTAAGCAGAAAGTATAAAATGAATGTCACTTTCATCTGAAAAATACCAAACCACTGTCAAAATATTTCTGGTTTTTGTGTTTGCTTTCTAAAATAACACAAATATTTCCACAATCAAAACAATGTACTTTGACAGAAAGTTGCAGATTAGTTTTAATTAAATGAAATGCAGAATTACAGCCATGAGATTGGGTAGCTAAATACATCAAACCTGAGCCCAGCTTCTGCACTCCTTGAGTTTTCTTTAAGCATATTTTCCTCTCTCCATCCTCCTTGCCTCTGGGTGAGGAGGAGACCTCTGGACATAGGAACCCTGAAACTGTTCCCTCCTGTTGCTTTCTATGGATGGGTGCTGCTGAGTTATGGGGCAAGGTCCAGTCACCTCTTCAGGCACAATGTTTATTTCAGGCCACATCCCTCTGCCTTCGATATATTGTTGGATCATATAGCACTCTGGGAAATTAATAAATAACTCATTAAAAACAAAAACTTGCTTCTCACCCCACCAATACCAAAATTCCCTGCTGGGATGGAGCAAATGGTGCTTGTGGGAGGTCTTGCTGGCTCTCCAAATCCCTCCTTGGCTTTAACTGACAGCTCAGGTTTCAGGATCGTGGCCTGCTGCCCTAGTTTCCCTAGCCAGGGAGGAATTTCTCAGTCCCTGACACTCCTCAGATGGTCAAAACCACTGATTTGAGGGGGGATCCCAAAAAACAGGTGCTGGCAGTCATGAGAGCCATGTCTGTTGCTTGTAGAACTTGTATTTTGGCTGGGTGAGCTCCAGAGGTTGCTCACAGTGATCTGCATCAAAATGTACGTGTTTTTTTCAATGGAAGACACAGCCTACATAGCAATTTTAAAGCAATAGAGTAGAGCACTATATGTACCAATTAAATCAGCCCTTCCAGTGACAAGTGAATATTTGATTTTCTACCCCCAAAGGACAGTGCATACCATATTACGCTGCAGTGATATTTTCTAATAAATTATCTAGCTGATGACTTGTCTCTGAGGGGAAGAGATTGTCAACAAAACAAAACCAGCTCTTTCTTATTTGTATCTCATCTCCGTTATGCATAAGGGCAGCGGTCTCAGTGCTCTGTACCTTATAAATGATGATCACTATAAGAGGAAATGTTCATTTACTGCTACAGTTTTGAAACACGCCAACAAAGAAGTAACAGAGTCAATCTCAGCTTTGCCTTCCCCTCTTCCTTTCCCTACCCAGGAGCAAGTTATTATCTCTGTGACAGGAAGGAAAATATTAGGTCAGATCCTCCAGTGATTTGCATCAGCACTGCTTTATGCAGAGCCTCAATTAGTGGGGGAAATTACACCGGTTGTGCAAAGAGAGCCCGTGGAACATCCTGGATTGGGATGGACAGTGAGTCCACTATAGCTAGGATAAATGTAAGGGTGTAGTGGCAGGGCTGGCTTTGCTCTTGAGGATAGCCATGAAAAGGAAGATCTGTATCTCAGCATTACTTTCCTCCTTTCTGAAATGGAGGAGGTGATCCCAAGCAGTTGGGATGGGGTAAAGTTTGGCAATGAGGTGGAGGAAGGCTGTGGGAGGCGTGTTATGCTCGAGGCAATGCTCGTGAGGCTTTGGACAGGATTGCAGTGGTTTGCCAGGTTCTAGAGAATTTGTGAGAATGCTGAAATTGAAGTAATGAACTCTTAATTAATTCAGCATTTGACCAAACAGACTGGGAAAGAGGGAGATGTGTGACAGCTGGTGGAACAGTTTCACAAAATTCTTTGAGATTTCACTGCCCAGAAATGCTTTCCTGGTTCTTTTCCCTCTCCCCCCAACACTATAGTGGCATCCACTAAGGAATCAGGAACCACAGTGAAAGCAAGCAAGCAAAGCAGGAGTCTCAGATGACAGTTTTAAATGAATTTACACTGAAAAGGCTCCTCTGATTTGCCTTGGCTTGTCCTTATGGAAGTACTAGTTGGGACTCGATTCCAGCTGATAAAGTTCATTAACTCATTCTTCTGTTATGCTCTATTTACTGGTGGTTTGGTCAACCAGTTACATGCAGTTTGGTTCATTTCAAGTAAGTTATTTGGATGATTTTTTTGGTATAACTCTATTCTAGCAAAGCATAAGAGGAAAATGGGGTTAACAGGCTGTGTTCTCCTTGTTCTGCCTCCAGAAGGACTCTCGTAGCTCTCAAATAGGAACTGCTGTGGTTTAGTGGCTTAGAGGTGTGAGTAAATGGCAGTTCTCTGCAGGGAGGAGATCTCTGAGGAAGGTTCAGCCTGCTTCAGAGAGTGGAAAACTGCAGGAGAATTCCTAATTGGATGCAGCAGGGAGGAAGAAAAGAAAGCCCTTGACAGGTTGAGGGTTTTTTTTTCCTGTAGTGGCAGCATTTTAGAGACACTTGTTAATGAGGATGACTGATTGGAAAATGAGTCAAAGCTTTTAAATCTTTAAAAATGATTTTTTTTTTTCTTCCTTGTTCTTGAAAGTGGATTCCTCGTGTGATCACTAAGACAGCAGAATTTTCCTTTCCACCTCCAAAACATTGAAAGTTCCTTCAGGCTCAGTCTGAGACGCAGTGTGCAATTACTCACAGGACACCTGGTGCTGGCTGTGACAAGCAGGTGAGGTACCTGGGTTGTTTTGGGGGGAGAGAGAGCAAAGAAAAAGAAGGTGCAATGCTTTCTGTGCAAAGTGTTTGCTGAAAGCCCTTTGTCAAACAAATTAGTGTCTGACACCCCCCATTCTCCCAAATCCCAAGCCAAAAAACAGCTGGAAAATCACCCAAAATGCAACTAAAAGATTTAGACAATGTGTATTGTTCCTTCCCATAAAAAATAATGAAAAGTGAGTAAACAAGAGGATATTTTCAAATGTTTTTGTCTGTTGTATTCTAGTGGGAGTGGTAGTCATCAGTAGTAATAGGGAAAGTAGAACTAATGGTAGCAATATTAATATCTGTTTTCCTCTTATGTTTCACTTCCAAATGTATAAAAGTATCTGCTGAGAAGATAAATGGCATCAACGTAACATTAATGAGAGCTCAAATATCAAAAATTCCTAAAGTGAAAGCTTTACCACTACTTAATTTAGATTTGCTGCCTATTTGTATTTAATAAATAAAATATGTGTTTTGCTGCCTACCTACAGGAGCTGACCCTCATAAATATACTGACACAATAGAATTTGAACACGAGGCAGGGAAGTGAATGTATTTTTAAAATGTTTATGTTATCTGAGGCAGAACAAACGTCATTGATATGCAGCATTGCTTACAGTAAGTCTTACAGCCTCCCTGTTGTCGCATGTATAGTTTATATGCCTTAAGATTATTTGAGCTTTAATGCCCATGAAGATTAGGAAAAATGAAAATCCAATGAAGCAGAAAGCAGGGTGACCCCCACGCACACTTGCCTCAGATTTTTTTTTTGTCTCCTGTAAGAGGAATATTCAGTTTAGAAGTTCTGACCTTGGATAAATAATGTATTTTAGCACTGTCCTAACTTTGAATCAAGGAGGATTCTCCATGTGCTAAATGTTAGCCACATATGTAAACACCTTGCTGAATTAAGGCCTTTCCTGGCAGGGACTCCCTATCCCCGCACCTCCAAGAGCAAAGCTGTTCACATTGGGAAAAGCACAGGCTCCATCTGTAATATAGAACCCTGTGCTAAATATACCTTCCTGCTGATCCAGGGGGAAAATGAACTGATTCCTTATTCAAAAGCATGCATAGCTGGCCTTTTTTTTGGCTGGCTGCTTTGCAAGGTGTGCAGGGTGTTGCAAGAAGGCTGAATCCTATTTCAGCTTTGCACTTCAGTGCGAGGGACTTGCAAATAATAGCAAGCACGCTGGTTATCTGTGTGTGCACTCTCCTTTCTATTTTCAGGGTCACATGCTTTTTTTTTTTTTACTTTCAAAGGTGGTAAGAGGGCCTGCCTGAAGTGAGTCTTCCTCTGCTGGCCTGGCTCCATTGTCTGCGAGTGCACAGTGTTAATTTTGGGCTGGATGAGGTCTAGATGATAGGCTGAGCCTTGGATCTTTACCAGCTCTGTGTGCACAGAGATAGCATGGTTCAGTTCCAACTCCTGGACTCCTATTTGCAGCCCTCTGTGACGGTTCGGTAATCCTAGGAGCTAACAATAATAATATCAAGTGTCATTACTGATGGATTTTTTAATCATCATTATAATTCTTACTCTTGAAAAGCACTTAAAGCACATTTTTCTCTTTCGTCAACAATAAAATGCAGCCTCATAAATATTTAACTTGTCTGATTAAATTATCCATGCTGAAACAGATAACTGGGCACTTTAATAAGCTTAAACCAGAATCTTGGCTGTTATTATCTCCTTGGAGAAGAAAGAGAAGGTGATGAAGGTTGCCCTGGCCTCAGTGACCCTCACTGTTCAGCTCAGCAGCAGGAGATTCTTATCAAAACTGAGAGAGACCTCAGAAACGAACACAAAGTTGACAATAATTAGCAGCAGTCTTTAATCTCATGAATGCAAGGAGAGGATAGAAAGTCTGCACGGCTTTTCTATTTTACAGCCAGAGAAGGAAAGCCGTGGCTGAGGTGTGCAGTGGGGATGGTCTCTACAATGGGATCATCTTCTGCGGCAATGCATGGAGCTGGCTCGGTCAGTTCCCAGCCTCCAAATCACCTGCTGCTGACTTGTCCTGAGTCATCAGCCCTTGGCTGTGCTGCTCAGCTCTTTCATATCCTGTCCCAAATTTTTTGTGCCCCTCCTTGTTTCCTCATTGCTTCTGCTGCCCACTCCGCTCTGCCAAACAGCTGCAGTGAGCACAACTGTGAGCCAAGGGCTGGTCTCCCTCTTCTTAGAAAACAAACAACAAAACAAGACAAAAAACCCAACACAACAAAATGCTTTAAGCTTCTTTTGTGTGCACAGGGGAACAGCTGTGGGCAAGCGTGGACTGGGCTAAAGCAGAAAGGAAGTGAGAAAGAAGATTCCCTCTGCAACCTGTAAGAATAAATAAGGCTCATATACAAAATTTTATTCTTTTTTCATCCCTTTTGGTTCTCTACCAGAAATTGAGCAAGATGTCCTTAACATCTTTCAATTGCAAAGAATGACAAAAATAAAAGTACTTCGTGTGCATCTGAAAAAAAAAGAAGAAGAAGAAAAAAATGGTTACTCTGAAAAGAAAAATCAAGGCAAGAAATATAATTAACAGACTTGTTGCCTCAGGGGAGAAGAAGGGTTTGTTTTTCAGGATGGGAAGGATTTAAATGCAAAGTAGGTGCCTACACATCCACGTGCACATGGATTTCTAGCTCTGTTTGTGCCTTTGTGTCTAAGTATAGAGTGTTGGCAGGATGTGCATTACTCTGTTTATATGTAAAATGTATATACATTATTTATACATTCGATATACATTTGATACAAAACATGGAGCAAGCTGTCAGGAGCAGGTGTGGGGTATGTGTGTGTGAGAAATGTCTAATATATACTTTCTCCCTCCTTCCAACTTAGACAAACACACCCAACTCTTCTGACTACATTTCCACTCCATTTTAGGCCAAATGCTCCCAAAGCCACTGAGCACTGTCCCCTGCAAATGAGGCGCTACCATAAAATAGCTGCAAAAAATCCCCCAACCTTTCTTTCTAAACTGTTTTCTGTGATTTTGCTGCACTCTAGATACTCAGAACAGGAACTTCAGGCACCACGGTAGGAACTTGCCTTGGTGAGGAAAGAACATACAACACCAAATGTAATTGTCAGCCTGGCAGGTAGCTGTGTTAATTAATCTTTAATGTCATTAATTGGTTGTCTGCTTAGCGGTGAGAAAAAGGGTAAACATTGTTCACAAATCAATTTAATTCTGCCTCCAGCTTCTTTTCAAGGGGATGAAAACAATTATGAGCATTGCACTGACTGGACACCCAGGCTTTGCTGATAAGACGACTGGAATGATAATACATGCAAGCCCTGCTCACTGATGCAGGGCTGCTGATTGAGTTCCTTTCCTCTCACATTGACTCATTTGTTTGTTGTGGATAAAGGGAAATGATAAGAAGAGGATATTGTTGGATTTGGTTCCTTCTGGCCAGCTGATTCTTTTTATTTTTAATATCCTGGGTTTGCCCTAAAAACAGAGCTTCTGGACTCTGCTCCAGCTTGCAAAAATAAAAGCAATGCTGGCTGTGGATCGACAGCCAGCTGACACAGCAAGCACACGTATGTTTTTTCTTTCTGCAGCAGGTCCTGGGAGTTTTCTCCCAGTTAATTGCAGTTAATCTCTGCCCTAGCACCTGGGTATGAAACGGTGTGATCAGTGCTGGGTTTCAGTGTGAGGGACGGGTGTGATGAGGCTTGCGACAGAGCAGCATGGAACTTCCCTGGCGGCTGTCAGTCAGATTTTGACAGAGGAGTGGGGTAACACACCAAAAGGAGAAGGTCTTGGCTTGGAATGTGCAAGGTCTGCAGGCAGATGAAATAGAAGCCTTCAGGTATAGTCCGAGCGCCATAGTGATAAAGAAAGATCAGGGGAAGGATCTGCGCATTTAAGGGGTTGTTCTAGAGTATGGGTTTCCAACTTCTTGGCTCTGTGGGCTGCACTGAGTAAAGGGAAATTGTCTTGGGCCAATGTTTTGGTTGTTGCTGAGTGATGGGTGTGCACCTGAGGCTGCGCCTCACCTCCCTGTAGGTCACCAGGTCCATGCTGGCCTTACTTGCAGTGCCAGGCAGCACAGATCCTGCAGGCTGCAGGTTGGATGCCTGTTCTAGAGTGTTCCTAAAGATCCATCATCAATTCTTACCCTTTCCTCCTGCTATAGTTGACTACTAGAGCTTTGCCCTGTACCAAATTAGCCTGACACACCCATTAATTAGCTGCTGGCCTCACTATAATCCTCACTGCCTTCTCCAGAAAAACTCTATGTTAAAGCAGCATGACAATCTCCTACGGCACCCCTGAAGCTGGACAGAAAGCAAGCTAGCAAGAAAGCTGCCCAGCAAAGGTGCTCTGAAGCATTCAAAATGATCTTCACTAAGCAGAACCTCCCCTTCCAACTCAAAACACCTGGCCCATCAGCCAGGTAACTTCAGAGAGCTGGGATTACGGCAGCAGTGAGCATTACAGATTAACAGCAACAGGTTGTTCCTGGCATTAAGGCCAGGAGCTGGTCTTTTATTTACTTTCACCTGTGAAGTTCTCTGAGCTTTACAGAAGGAAGCACCTCCTTTCAAGAACCTGTTTTAGTGCAGTGAGGTTTGTGGCTTGTGTTACTCTGTGCTGTGCAAGTAGTAGGGATTGGATTATTAGCAGGGTTAAGAATGAAGTGGAAAAGCAGCTCTGAGGGAGGAAGAATGGATTCAAGTGGATTCATGGTGACAGTAATGGCCTGGCATGCTGGATTCCTTGCTCAGCCCTGTGCAGAAGTTGCAGCGTGATCTGAGGTGAGTCTGTGGGTTTTGTGGTTTGGGTATCTTGTCCTAGTTCTCCTTTTGGTGTGTGGGGTTTCTGAGAGTGGAGAGGCTAAGCAATGTGCCTGCAGGTGGTGGCATTGGTCCCCTCTGCTGGTACGGAGATGTGCTGGTACTGAAGGGGCAGAAGTGATGAACACAAATGGTTGAGCGTGTGCAACTCCTCGTTGCTGTTGTCAGTTCAGATGTTTTTTAAGGACTTGTTAATTTAAAATGTTCGGTATATATTTGACATCTTTTTGTCTTCCTGATGGACTTTAAAGACCCTTCCAACGTTGCATGGAAGAACGTGCTATGGATTGTAATGGAGTGTTTAAGCTATGATAAGATACGTGGTGAATTTGTGGTGCTTCTCTCCCTGTTTACGACTGGGGTTGGACCTGGTTGCTTTAAATTAGGCTCACAAAGACATTAACTCCGGCGTAGGACTGTTCCTTTAGACAGCACCTTTACTCAAACATCTTGTGGCATTTTCTGCTTTTTGTGACTGTTTCGAATGCTCCAGCTGCAGTGATTGGATATCAAATGTGATGTTATTTATGGAACCTTTGTCATTGTCTCTCAAGAGAGCTGGACTTTGTGTCCTGTTACTCCAGAAGTTCCCTAGGATGGAGTACCTTTGCATTTCAGATGTTTTCACAGATATTTATTGTGACTTTTTCTGCTACCAGTTGAGCTATCGTACTTTATTTTTTTATCTCCCAAAAATTGAAAGGAATCCTTCATGTACATGGAAATACTCCAATCACTATTCCTGAGTGATATTTCCTGTGTAGCTCCCTTGACCTGAAGCACTTGCCGGATAGGCAGCTTCAAGCACACAGTCCATCTCTACTGCTCAGATTTTCAAAGATGCTCTGAAACTTACAATTTTGACCATGGAGTTACAGGATGTCTTGAGTTGGAAGGGACCTTAAAGATCATCCAGTTCTAGCCCCCTAGCCTTGGGCAGGGTTGCAAGTTGCTTTAAGTTAATTACTCCTAACAGTCCAAGAGGGTAATAACACTCTTACTCCGTGAGATAATTAGGTAGCTTTAATTAGCTTGTTGGAAAAAACTCAAAATATAGTTGTATGGTTACTATATCAAACTCATTAGCTCAGCCTGGCAGCTTTTAGCTGGCATGTTTATGTTTCTGATTTACATATTCTTTCCTATGGTGCTTAGTGGTATAGCTTTCAATAGTAATAATAAAAAAGTTAAGTTACTCCAGAGATTCATTACATGAGAGATGTGCATAGATGATATGGTAAGAATATCCTAGTACAGCTAAACTATGTTTATTACCACAATACTTAAAATACAATTAAAAGTGTATGTGTGCATGCCACTTTATTCTGTAACTAGCCTTGCTTGTTGTTTAAATTCTGTGGATGTGCAGGAACATGTTATTGTGCTAAAAAAAGGTTATTTTTGGAGGATAAAATGGATGACTATCAAGTCCTCTCAAGTGCTATGCTAAAGCTGTCACACAAGTAATCTCTAGAAATGCTAAAAAAAAAAAAGTGAACTCCAGCCCAACTGGTATTTAGGCAAGCTTCTCATTGGAATCAGCTGGAGGTTTTGCTCAAGATCTTAAGCAGCAGTTTTGGCCCAAACAGCATTTGGTTCTCTAAGAGATAAGGTATGACACTTTTTCCATTACTAAAAATAAACAGCCTTAAAAAAAGGCTGTGGCAAAAGCAGATGAAGGTCTGGGGCTGGAGGGTTCTTGGTGCTGCTGGAGGTAGCGAGGTCAGGTTGGGCAGAACATGGCAGGAGCTACTTTATATGTGAAACAACAAAAGGCCCAGCAACAGCTTGCATGTTCCTTCGGCTCTCTGTTGTCAACAGTGCTCTGTGCCTCTTTACAGAAGGGAAGACAATAGGAAATGAGATTCAGGGTGAAAATCCAGAGAATCAATAAGGAATTTATAGGCTACTTATCTGATGCATTTTAAGCAGAGCTAATGAAAGTGGAGAAATGAATGTTATTGGCTTTTTTGAACTGATTTGATGATGCTGAAGGGCACATTTGCCATTCTAATACCATTTTGAGTAATATTGCATTCACTTTTTTGAATGACACCTAACTTAAGTTTCATTCCTTTCTTTCCGCATCGTAGGCAAAACATTTTATTTCTAATACAGCTTGTGGTGTGAGCATCATGTAGGAGTTCATGCATTCATTTACAGTAGTTATCTCCTCGCTCTTGTCATCTGCTGGTTACTGAGGATTTTGGCCTTGCTCTGATCCCTCAGTCCTGTGATGGACAGCAGAGCCACCATCCCCTTCATCCTTTCTCTCCAGGGTGCGTTCTTGGTCTAACTGCGTTGATGTGTCATAACTTCTCATCAGTTTTCCATTTTACTTCTCTGGCTCCATAGCATCTGGAAGGTTCTAGAGGATGCTTTTCTTCTTTAATTTGTACAGTGTTTTGCTGTCTGCAGAAGTAAGTCCAGACTTTCTTTCTTCAAATTTCCTTTGCCACTCGATAGTTTCATCAGGTGTGGGATGCTGCTGCTGTATTTCTGTTGCTCTTCCAGCTGTGAG